TGAGTGGACAATTGGGAATTGAGAATCATTGCAGAAACACTTCAGAAACAAAGGGTCAAATACAAGGCACCTTGTACACGTTATATGATTCAGTGCTCAAAGCGAAACAGCAAAATTTGTGTGACAATCTGACTTTATACAGAGTGATGCTGAAGCCCAGAAAGGTTGAGCATCTAGTTTAAGATCACACAGCTAGGCAATGGGGGACTTGGAATTAAGCTCAGGCTCCCAGGGTTAGGAAAAGGGAGGGGAGCCCCTGAGATTATAAAACTTCTTAAAACTTTTATTGCTCTTTAGAGATATGAACACCAGAGAAGACATTGATTTAGAGTCGAGGCAGCCTTTTTAGGGGTGGGGAAGTCATTTGGAATAGAAGGACAACTTAATCTGTTGGATTTTGTTCCTTGCTTCCAGATGCCAGCCTGACAACCCCACTGCACCTCTGCATGTGATTGAAATCACTCTCAGCAGTCCCAGCGTTGTTGGGTATCACTGAGGGAACGTGGCTCAAGCTGGCAGGATATCCGGTGGTGGTGGCGATGTGTGTGGTACTCATGTGCATGTGTGGTTGTTGTGTTATCCTTCTCAGGGGTGCTGTGAAGAACTTGTCCTGTGACAGGTGAGGACAGCATTGTACAGCAGGCTCCTCGCGGGAGTGGAATTACAGTTCCGCAGGGTGCAGGTGCCTCTCTGGTTGGCATTCCAAGCGTCAGGCCTGCAGAGAATGCTTTGTTCTTCTTTCCCAGCCCCCACCAGCCTTTGTTCCTGACAGAGCTGATTAGGTTCAGTGGCTAATTAGCAGGCCCCAAAGTTAAGGAGAACAATGCCTGAAGCCCTGCTGGCCTCTCCTCTTCCAGGAGGTGTGTATGGCGCCTGGGATCTTGGATTCTAAGCCCGTCACTCAAGCTATTTCTTCAGTCAAATAACGGCAACGTTCTGTCTTTTGCTAAACTCACCTGTTAGCTAAAACAACATCACTTTCTTCAGAACTGGGCTGGAGAAAGCTGTGACATCCTTTGTAGTCCATGGCTCATCCCCCATGACCAGCAGGACCCATCTGTGAGAGGGCTGAAGTTTTCTTCTTCTGGGACGTAAACTGCCTCTTGCTGGAAGGGTGGGGAAAGGCAGAAGAGCATCAGCGTCTACCAGATGCCCCGTGATAACATTTTATCTCATGGTGTCCTCAAAAGCTGTGTGGTGGGGCTCTGGCTTGTCCAACCTCAGAATCAGGCACATGTGCCATCAGGTTTCCAAGCTGTGTGCTACACTTACACGAACCATTGATCTGTAAATAGGCCCACTGTGACCTCTACAGACTGGGGCATGGCTCTTTCCCTGACCTGGCCTCTGAAGGTTAACCAGTCTTGTTTATTTGTGGACTCTTGATCATAGAAAAGTTTTTTGTAGAGTTTTTAGTTTTAATACCTCTATTTTTTCTTTTTACCTTGAGGTTCAGAGAAGCCAAGAAACTTGTGTGAGCTCTGGGGGAGATACCTATGACCCTGATGCCCTGCAGTTTCCAGCAGGAACCCAGTTGGCTGTGGCTGACTGGCATCCAGGGCAGAAGCAGTGTAGACAGCTCCAGGTGAAGAACGGGGACAAGAATCCAGCCGTCTCCCCCTCACCTTCCCTTCTTCTCCCACGCCAAATTTCCAGTGTTTGTCTGGAGCCGGGTTCCCTAAATTAACTCACATTGAGTGACCAAAGACAATGTATCCCTGACCTTAAAAGGCCCTAAATTACAGAGGTTAAGACACACAAACTGGATTGGGAACCCCACTTTATCACTCACTGATCTGTGGCCACTGGCCCGGTGATGTGGTCGTCTCATGCTTCAGTTCTCCTGTCTGTAGATGGAGATGACAGAGCCTGACTCACAAGGTTCTCAGGGTAAATGAGTTAATGTGTATAAACCGCTTAAAGCAGCGGACTATCCTTATCTTTGTCTTTTAAAAAAGTGATGTCTAGTGGTGTAATTCCAAGAACTTTGGCCCTTGAGGGTAAAAACTATGGAGCAAGGGCCTTCTAGGATCCTCCAGTCATGGTCTGAGATTGTTTCAAGGTGCTGTACGACAGAGCCGGCCTTGTATGTGCTGTTTTCTTCTTTTTCTGTATTGCTGACTAATCAATTTTAACAGGATTTTTTTTGTTTGTCTGTTTTGTTTTAATAGGAGTAAGCATTACCAACCATTATATGGTAACTTCCTATATAAAAATCTTTCTCCCTGTGTGATGTGCATCTCTAAGACGTCCTCCTGGTGTTCACGGCCTTGTGTAACGTTCTCTTCTTGAGTAACTTGCTTCTGCAAAATAGAACACGAGAAAACAGAGGGGGTGTCTCTCCTGTGATTAGGTTACGAAAGCCTTCAGTCTTGCTGGCAGTCTGTCTCTCTTGCCGCTTTGATGAAGCAAGCCGCCGTGTTGGAAAGGTCCACATGAGAAGGAACGGAGGGCAGCCTCCAGCCAACGGCTAGAGAGGAGCTGAGTCCCATCAGCAACCACGTCAGTGAGTTTGGATGCAGATTCTTTTCCAGTTGAGCTTTCAGATGAGAGCCCAGTTGTCACCAAGATCTTGATTGCAGTCTCAGGAGAGCCCATGAAACAGAGAATCCAGCCAAACCACACCTGTTTTCCTACCAACAGAAACTGTGAGATAATAAATGTGTGTTGATTAAGCCATTAAGTTTTAGAGTAATTTGTTACATAGCAAGAGGTAACTAATAGCACACAGTAGGTTATCTGATTTTATCCTTACATCATTTCTCAGAGAGGCGAGGCAACTCCTGCCAGGTCTCACAGCTGGTAACTCATAGACCAGGTATCTGAGCCCACATCACAGCTGCTTCTCTGAAGAGGCTACAGAAGGGAGGGTCCAGACCACCTCGTAAGATTTCCTTTACACACTTTAGTGTCAGTTTTCTAGAGTGATTCCCCAGCTTTCATTGTCTGATGCAGGGAAGGAAATAACACTCACTGACCGCCAAATCTTTGCCAGGGACTTTGTGTGTATTGTCATAACCAGTTCTCCCAAGATAAGGCAGGCATCACTATACTCAACGTACTGGCTTTCCCAAAGTGGGTTTTCCAGATCCTGACCCCCCAAGGCACTCTGTGAAGAAAAGGTTCCATGACCCAGTGTATTTACAAAACAGTATTGTGGAAATTCACTATGCTCAGAGGAACTGGAGCAAAGAAATCTGCTTAATGTTTCCTAATATTGTACATCCTGATTTTATTAGACCATAAAAAATCTTATTCACCTAAGGAGAGCTCACATCCCAAGAAATATTCCACAAAATGTACTTTTGGAAATGGTGGTTTACGGGAAATTTTCACACCTCTGTTTTATTACAACTGAACATCGCAAAAACTTTGTATGACAGTGTCTGGGAGTTGCAACATCGTTGTTAGATAGTGTCATCCTTGAGCTGTGGCCCACCTCTGCAGTATGCGATGTGACCGACCACTCCTTTTCTTCTTCCTGCCTCCCCTCCCCCACCTGTGGTCCCAGAAGAAATTTTTAAAGATTAAAAAAGAACTTTCTTCTGTGACCTGGCCCCACCGTGTCCTGTCCTCTTCTTGCTTTTCAGATCACTGCGTATCCTCATTCTCCTTTGCAGAGTCCTCATCATCTACCCGTCCTCAAGCGTCTGCATTTCTGCTCATCTTCTTGCTCCTGCCTGCTCCGGCACATTCTCCCTGGGTGAGCACATCACTCACAGAGCTCTGACTTGCCCCTGCACAGTGGTAGTTTCAAGTCTGGCCCTCTTCCCCAGACCCCTCCCTTGGGTCCAAGTCCTTATGTGCAACTTTTTATCAGACATCCCTGCATGGACACCTCCTTCCACACTCATATGGAAGCCTTCCTTGTCTTCTGTGTGCCCTTTCTCAGCTGGGCGACATCTTGCCCAGGGACCTGGGAAGCATGCTGATTTCTTCCCTCCTGATCAGTCAACCCAAGTTCTAACACCCCCACACCAAGCTGTCCCTGGCAGTGGCCTTTCCAGTCTCTGTCTCCACTGCCCTCGTTCCCTCTTAGCCCCTCCCTGGCTGGTCAGTCTGCTTCCCGTGAGCACTGGCTTCTCGTCACCACCCACGTGGCCATCCTCCCACCTCTCCTTTCCATGGGGATCTTTCCCCACACCTGCAAATCCGACCCTGCGGGCTCTGTTTAACCCCTTGGAGAAAGTTCCCCGTTATCCCCAGGGTCAAGTCCATGTTTTTCAGCACTGAGTGCAAGGACGGCCTCTCACAATTTCATTTCCGCCTCCTCCAGCTTTACCTCCCAGACCTCACGCGCATCACCCAGAGGTTCTGCAAACTTTCCACTCTGTTTAAAGTCTCTTTTCCTTCAGTGTGGACTCGCCTTATATTTTTGTTCACCTGTATACTTAATTCATTCTTCAAAATTCTGCTTGATAAGTGATGAAATGGTCATAAAACATTCAGCCTTGTAGTACAATTTTGGGGAAAATCTGCAGTACATATCAAAAAATTTTTCTAATGTTCCTACCTTTTGTCTCTGTAATTCCACCGCTGAGAGTTCAAGCTTGGGTAATAATCTAACCTGTGAAATGTGTTTCAGACCCAGAGATGTCCATCACAATGTTACTTGTAATGAAGAATGTTCTCAAAACAGGATAATGGCCAAGTTAATGATTTAATATTCATTGGAAGGAATCCATTAAACTGATGAATATAACAATGACGTAGAAACTTCATACCTGCTATAAATTTAAGTAACACAAACAAAAGGGAGCCAAATTATTATGTGTTTTGTTATTATGACTGTTAAATAAGCACAAAAACATGAAAAAAGAAGCACCTAAAACATCACTGTGATTTGGTTAGGGCAGTAGGACTACAGGAAGTTTGTGGGGGTTTTTTTTTCTATTATGAAAAATGTTGTAATTTGTTTATATTGTTTTTATAATGAAAAAGAAACATATATATATGTATATAATTTTCAACTGAGATTTTATTCTGTTGACATTTGTTTTTCATTCCACATCATTTTCAGCCAAGCTCTGAGCACTTACAATCCTCTGATTGTTGGAAGCTTAGTCAGAAGCATCTGGAATACTGGCGGTGGCAGTGCCTGCTGTAACACTTGAAGTAACTGCTGTGGCTGTCCACACACAGCTATGGAGTTTGTCAGATGGTCCACACCCTTTTCATACTCCCCCCTGAGCTAGTAACTCTTCACCAAGCTGTATTTCTCCAAGGAAGAATTTCTGAACAGCTTCAGCATCTTTAATATCAGGTAACTTGGAAAGTCCAGCTCTCTCCTGGGCAAGCTTCTGTTTCTTTCTTCGTTCTCGCATCCTGTTCTTGAACTTGGGGTCTCTCCATCTCTTGCAGTCGAAGTAGATGCAGTACCCGATGCACAGGGCCCCGCAGGCCCCAGCGGCGATGGCACTGTTGTGGCCACCACCTTCCCTGCACGCTGAGTGTGGACGGCGGCAGCGGCGGCAGGGCCGGCCAAAGAGCGCTGGACCAGGGTGACTCTCAGAGCCGACGGCGCCACTCACACCCAATGCTGGCTGGCCAGAGAGGTGGAAAAGCAAAAACAAAATATTCTTACTTATTGTCCCCCTGAGATTTTGAAATAAACAAATGAACACTTTTTTCCTCTTTTGCCTCTGAACCCTTAATCTGGCAGTGCTGAAAAGCCCACGTTAAATATAAACTTCCGAGATACCTGGAGTATGTCCCCGGTCCCTCTGCCTCTGCCCATGCCTTGGGACACCTGTCGTCTTCTGAGGGGCAGGCTGGCATCGGGCAGATGGGAGTGGTGGTTAGGATCCCAGGGCAGAGCCAGACTGCCTGTACTTGCTTCCCTGTGCCTCAGTTTCCTTATTATAAAATGCACATAATAATAATACCCTCATCATGGAGCTTTTGTGGGGAATAAATGAGTTAATTTAGAGAAAGCCTATAGAATAGTGCTTGGCAAGTAGTAAGTGCCTAAGAAAATTTATTATTATTGCACTCAACATGGCTTATGTGTCCGTGAAGCCCTCAAGGGTCAGGATGTATATTACTTATGTTTACCACCTTAGCTCCTTATATATAGAAGGGCTTCAAGAAATATTGTTGCTGAATCATGGAGTTAAGTACCCTGGAATGAATCTAAGGTTCTTCAAAAACTAGATGGATACCTAATACCTCTCCACAGGAAGGTGGGGCCTGAGCCAAGACTCTGGGAACTAGAGGTCATTGGCAGCCCAGAAGCAGGCAGAGGCACAATTCCAGGTTTTCAGCCTAGACAAGGTGCACAGCACACTGCTGCCCTGGAATTACTGTTCCCCAGTGCTGCCCAGCTCTAGTTGGGAAACCAGGAGCTTTAGCTGTGATCATTTGAGATGTGACCCTGACTCTTGCTGCCCTAGAACAAAGGGCAATTTATGGCTCTTTTGTGAAAGGCAGTTTAAGTGGAAGAAAAGGGCTGGTTCATCAAAGGCTGCGGGACCTGGTCACTGGCTCGATTTCTAAAAGAAATGCCCTGCCTGTGCCTTTGTTTCCGTATCTGTAACAGCCTAGTCTTCAGCTGGTAGTCTCTAGCTCTTCCTGACACATTTCGGGGGGATCATTTTGATTTGGGATCATTTTGGAACATCTTATTCCCCTCCCCCACCCCAGCAAGTCTCTGGTCTCCAACATAAACTTCAAGGTCTGAGAAAACAGGTTCTGTGAACCCAACTTCAAAGCTCGGCGATGCGGGCTCCTTGCAGAAGTGCTGGAGGCAACAATGGGCTTGAACCAGGGCTGGGTAGGCACTGCCCAGCGGGCACTCCTTAACCTGGCAACTATTGTGTTCAAAGTCATTGCTGCAGCCACAGCTGAACAATGCACTTGGCAACTCAAGGTGGTCTGCTTTCAGAGCAAGGTTGTTCTTGCCAGTGCTGCCAACCTGAGGACCCTGAGTAGAAAAGCCACCAATGATGCTTAATAAAAATAATAAAAATCTTTTTTTCATTTAAAAAATAAGTGTAGTATAAAGATATCAAAGAAAAATTTCACATAAAAGAAAGAAAAAGTCTTCCTATACTACCAGCCCCCTACTCCAGTCACCATGATCTTTTGGACCCTTCTATTTCTGGTTTTTCTGTTTTCCTTTTTATTTAACATAGTTATAATCAGTATATAAAATGTGGCCCATTTGTTGTTTGGTTTTATAGGATTAGGACTACAATAGGCATAAGGTTGCTATATTTTCTTTTTACCTATTGTTTAATAGGTGTGGAACATTTTTTCAAGGCACTGCACCTGAACAAATTGGAATTATTTTTGTTTTTAAAAAATGATGTGCTACTATAAATTGCACTGGAATGAATATTTCTGGTCTATACCATGTTTTACTGGGTCAGAATTTTTGACTTGTTTTGTTTTATTTTGCATTTTGATAATGCTGCCCTCATTTATTTATTTATTTATTTATTCATTATTTATTTATTATTTTTTTTTCCCCAAACAAAGATTGTACATTCATTGTCTCTAGATGTGTGTGAGACTGCAGTTTTCAGCTAAGGTAATTTTTTTCCCTCAATATTTTATTATAAAAGTTCTCAAACATGCAAACATTAAAAAGATTTTGTGATGCGCACCCATATACCAATTCAGGGTGACTTTTGAGCATAAAAGTCTCTGAAATGCTGAACAGAAGTTAACTAGTAGAGAAATGTGTGTCATCTTTCAGCTGGTGATCTTTGGACATAATAATCATGGCAATATATTATTATATTTTATAGCCTTTAGTAGTTTTCAAACTGTCTTCAGGTCTATTTTCTTGCTTGATCCTCATCCTTATCATCAAAATATAGCCACAGCAAGTATTATCAAGTATTACTTGCATATTTTGATGATAAAACACATGGTTAAAGAGGTCAAGGCACCTACATAAGGTCACACAGCAAGGGAGGTGCTGCTGTAATACTAGAGTGGAGCTCCGAACAGAAATGTGTTCTCTCTTCCTTTCCTCTTGCCAAATTCCACTGTCCTATGAAAATCTGACTATGCGTCACCACACCCTGGTTTATTCCAAGTTTCCTACGGGCCTTCAGTTCCCTGATTCTGTGTGTCTGTGACTTTGGACCATTTCAGGATATGAGGGCAGGAGTGTGCATCACAGGTTGCCCAGTGACCCTACATGCCAACATGAGGATTAAAAACAGAAGGAGCTCAGAAGCTCCACCCCATCCCAACACTTTTCTAAAGATGCAATTTATCTTTTGTCTGGAAAAGTAAGACTAATTTGGTCAACAATTAGACCCAGAAAGTAAGTGTAAGCATGTGCTGGTTTGTTTCCCTGGAAAGGAGGATCCAAGAAGAGTCTGGATGATGAAGCACAGCTCTAGAGGTTCTGGGAGTCAAGGGGTTTACCCTGGACAAGTAACCCCAACACCATCCTCCCCAACTCTCAAGCCTGGGACCAGCAAAGGCCAAAGACCTGCCTAACAGCTCAAATGTGATTTTCCACCATTAATAGTGGTTTCTCCAGAACAGCTCTATGCTCAGGGTTTAAATTTCCCACCTTGGGGTTGCCGTCTTTTATGCTCAGGAGCACAACCATGCACGGGACCTGGTGCCCTCATCCAACGTGGCAAAGCACCCTTGGGATCTGAGGCAGAGGAATCTTCAGTGAATCTCACAAGCCGCATTTCTCCAACTTCTTTATCTTTATTCCTCCATAAGAGCAGGTAGACTGCCTCCATCCTTGCCCTAAGAGCACACTGAACACACACTGAAAGCCCACCATGTGCAGAGGCAACGTTATTCTACATTATGGATGAAGAAACCGAGCCTTGGGAAGACTACATAAGATGACCCTGGCAACTCAGATCTCATCAGGACTGCAACCCCCTCCTCTTGACTCTGCAGCCTTTTCTCCCCCTCCCCCTGCCCTGCCCAGCCCCACTGTAGTTCCCACCTCACACATACAAGGAGAGGCTTGCTTACACAATTTGGCATTCCTCCAGCCTGGTTTCCTGCTGGACTCTGGGGCCACTCTCATTTTGTATGGACAGAGCTGCCCTGGTCACAGCAATCTTTTGCTGCTGTGGAAACACATATAAAACCGTCAGAGCCAGAGCCAAAGGCAGAGCAAGAGTGTCCACCAGGCCTGGGAGCTCACCCAGAAGGACGTGCTCAGGGCATGAAGCCAGACAGCTTTTCCTACAGAAAAATGCCTTCTGCCCTCTACGTATTCCACAGTAGCCAACCTTATGGCTCTCCCTCCTTCCCTGCCTTCCTCCCCCTTTCTATTTTTTTTTTCTTTTTTGTCTTTTTTCGTGTCCGGCAACGGATCGCAACCCTCAGTGTCGCGCCTGTACCGGACCGGGACTGGCTACGGGATCGCAACCCTCGGTGTTGCTCCCACACCTCGCTCAGCCAGTGAGCGGGAACCGGTCTGTATGTGGGATCTGAACCCTCGGCGGGAGCGCCACCGCGCTCCCAAGCGGCGCACTGTAGCAGTGCGCCACCGGGCCGGCCCCTCCCCCTTTCTTTCTTTCTTTCTTTCTTTCTTTCTTTCTTTCTTTCTTTCTTTCTTTCTTTCTTTCTTTCTTTCTTTCTTTCTTTCTTTCTTTCTTTCTCTCTCTCTCTCTCTTTTTCTTCAGCTTCCAAAGGAACAGCTGTTCAGCATAAGTAATGACAAGTGAGAGCTGGACAGCCACTGGGGAGACCTTTTAGTGGGGCCATCTGCTTGTACTTGCCCTTTGGAAAAATCAATGAATTGGATTTTTAGACAGTTAGTTCCTTAAGCCTGAAAATATTCGTTGGAACACCATGGGTGAACGAAGTCCACCCTCCCAGCCTTCATCCATTTCTCTCAATTTGGCCAGATGTTGTCATGATTTCCCCACAATAAGCGGGGGAAGTTCTGTGGTGGGAATAGCATCCAAGAGCTTGTGTGAACTAGCAGAGCATACTGCAAACGGGACAGTCATTTGTAAGACAATATGACTCTTCTCAGAAACAAATACAAATCCTATAATGAAACCCATTAGGCCAGTGGAAATTCATTGGAGACTCCATAACTTAGAACTTTATAACTCATAACTTAGTATCTTGTCCCAAGATGAAAGATGGAAAGCTTCAGACGGGATCAGTTACAAGATCCATTGCCAAGTCAGCCTCCTTCTGGGGCTGGTGGGCTGGAACCTTAGCCAGAGCTAATTAGAGGGCCCCTAGAGAATGAACCTGGAATGTTGGAGACTCAAGAGAACTTTGCTCAAAGCACCTGTCCTGAAGGTCCACAAAAGTCCAGCACCTCCCTAGAGAGGTGGGTACAAATTTACTCTTCATGGCGAAGAATCCAACCCCCTGCCCCAGTGCTGGTTGAGATCTCTTTGCACTGTGATTAGCTGAGCTCTTCCCTGTAGCCGATGGCTTCAACTTGATTTTCATCACCTCATTACTTCTGTGGCTCAGACATGCCATGCCAATGGGACATTAAAATTATTTTGATGAGAACTTAATTTTGTCACTTAGGATTACAGCAAATTGCACATGGCTTTCCTTTCCCCAGAGTCCCTGGCAGAAAGGAATAAAGCCATATAATACAAGGAAGGAATAAAGCCGTATAGTACAAGGCAAGGGGGAGGGAACAGACTTTTACTGCACTCCTCTAAAGCAGGTGCTTTACACAGATTATCTCAGATAGGTTTACCCAGGGCAACAGCTCTGTGAGGATTGTCACTTAGCAGACAAAGAAAGGGAGATTTAAGGAGGTCAAAAAAGTTACCCACGACCTCAGGATGAGAATTGAAAAGCAGGCA